TATAGGAACATGCTTCAAATTAAATGTCAGTGCACACACTAATACAGACACAATGTACAAGAATATACAACGAGATGTGTTCAGCACGGTGCTGAATGGAAAGTGATTTAAAGTTCATTCTTACACTTCAGTCTGTATTGAGGTCTACAGAAATCATATATGCATAGATCTCTGAAGGAAAAAATAATATACAGTACAATTAATTAACCGCCCCCAACACCAACAGATATTATGTTTCCAGCATTCTGATGGAATACACCAGCAAAGCTCTAGTTCAGAGTCTGTTTTGCAATCTGTGGCAAAGGTGAAATATAACAGTAAATAACAAATGTGGCTCATCAGACCAGACATTAAGACTGAAGGTTACCTCTGCAGCATGTCCATGAATTTAAAGAGGGAGAAGGTGGTTTTGGACTCTTTTAGTTTCTTAGCCAATTTTTTTGAACATGAAAAATCCCATAGCTTAAAACACGGCAGTTCCAGTGGAAAACTTGCAAGGTGAAAACATAACATGGCATAAAAAAAAAAGTTTGGAAAAGATTAGCTGTTTCTCCTCCATATATTAGCATTTGCTTTGTTGCAGCCAAAATGATCTAAGGATATAAGTATAAAATGGCTTTAAGGAAACACAGTATCTTTGTTTAGCCAACTGATGTAGCTGGGAAAAAACAGACAGGTTTGGTCCACCTAAATATTCTTCTAAGAGCTGAAATAAAAGCAACAATCTTTGAGTAAAAAGAAGAATGTGAAAGCTGTTTTCAGTTTAACTTAATTTTCAACACCAGACAGTTGTGAGCTGCCTTAAAAATCTACTTCTGCACATGAATCTTGTCCCTTTCCAAACTATTTTGTTAGTTTAAGAACCAAGACTATACTTCTACCTTAAAATCTTACTTCACAGTTTAATAAGCTTTGTTATGTATTGTATCCTTGTTTTCAGAGTCAGATTTTTAAATCAGAAGAGACCAGATTTTTAAATGAGAAGTTGCACCTGCAAACAGCTAAATCCCAGAGAGTAAAACTCCCTGGAGATAGTATAGTTGCAGAATTAGGTCCAAATCCTATTAATACATATGGAGTTACATAGTTTTACATATGAGAACAGACTTGTTAAAGACAGTCTTTATGCATGCCAGTCACAAAATGTTTTGATCTCTGCCAGGTCATGCTGAGCAGACAGAAAAACACTGTAATGCATAGTTAGGCTCGTATTGGCCTCATTAGCCACCAGCGTGCCTGTAACAAATGTGGATACAGCCTTCCCAAATCTTCATTCGCGAAGCCCAGCCATGATGATAGTTAGGCAGCTATTACATGCTTCTCCTTGTGTTTCTGGTCCTGTCATCATTTATCTTGGAATTTGCCAGTTTTCCTGTATTCGAAGACACCAGAGGCCTGACCCTGGTTGGCAGCTAAATCCAAAAAGCAACTAGCTGCTGCCAGCAGGAACTGAACTTACTTGGTAAGGTGTACCATATGTATCCTGATGCATTTCTAGGGCCATGCTCCTGGGGATGGAACTTATATTTATGCATAAACCACAGAGAAAACTGCACACAGCTCTTACCGGTAGGGATGCTCTCCTCTCATTACAGAATCGTGTCTGACGTTTCTTGTGGCCTCTACCCTCTTTCTCATTCTCATCGATCAAGTTGTGGCCCCAGAAGCTGCTCATCCATTTTGCAAAGAAGATATCATCATCCTCGTCATATTCCATGTACAGATGTTCCAAACTTGGGGGGGTGTCTCCCAACCAGGCAAGGAAAAGCAAGGTCAAATTCCACCACCAAGCCGGCAATTTCACACTGTTCTGCCAAGAAGAGGAAGCAGAGATGCAGTTTCAACCACTCTTTCTGCACAAACCCATCCCACTGCAGCCCTGGGCACCGTCTAAACATAAAGTCAATCCTTTCTCATTTCTTTTCAACGAGGTTTCTTTTAACCTTTCCATTGCAGCGCTGTCCAATATGACACTGCCGCAGGGGGCTGGTGGGGGGAGCGTTGGCTACTCTGTGCTCTGTGTGTGTGGCTGTTGAGTGCACCAGCTGTCAATACCAATGGAGAATTGCCCACAGTTACATGCCTGGGAGGTGCGTACACAAACCCAAAGTAGGCCTGTGATTTTGAGAAGCAGAATCGACATATTGATGTTGGTCGGGAACTGGCATGGCTGCTTGCAGAGACATAACTGGCTCTGTGGGAGGGAGCACAAATGGCCAACTCTTCCCAGGTTTCTCTCCATCCTGACTTCTGTTGCCTCTGCTCTTCCTTCAGTATTTAGGAAATGTGGTCTGTCTAGGTAGAACCAAGCCCCCCTTGAAGGAACCGCTTGTTCATTTTTGGGTTATGACAGACAGTGGAAACTCGTGTCAGCTGCTTTTCACCAGAAGAATTTCATCCACCAGGGTAAAAATATGTCTGATTCCTCCTCACCAGCTCTGGGTGTAACCCACATAGGCCATGTCTAGACCACAAACAGAATAGGGCCAGAGACTGTTTTCTGGCCCTGAGACTCAGTTGCTACACTGATCACACGTACCCTACATGGCACTTGTGCTGTGCATCTCCTTGAGGCTGTACGTACTGCACTGTGGTTGTAATATTTTGTTGTAATTTTTGTGTATTCTTTATTTTAAATTATCTGATATAACACAAAAACTCTCTTGTGGCCCATAAAACTGTTGTTTGTATGGTATGAAACTGGAAGATGTGTTACATGCCTGGGGACATGGCAGAAGGACAAGGAGGAGGGCTCTAAGGCTGTAGAGCCTGTTGGAGTAGTGTTGGAAGACTGCATAAGAGGAAGAACCCAAATCTAACTTCTTACTGGAAGCAGTCCTTCGTGTGTTCTAGGTGTTCTCCCAGTGCCTAGGCATTGCTGTGGAGATGGCCTTGGCCAGAAGTATGCTAAAAAGCTGGCTGGTAATTTAGCATTACAGAGGATCAGGGGTCCAGCATTAAACCTTGCCTATTCCACAATCTACTTAGAAATACAGATGTAGTAACAAAAGTCCAGTTTCATTCATGTGGGTGTAGGTAGGAGGTTTAACTACCATGTAGGACTCTTCATTCTAAACAGTATGGGTAAAGGGACCAATTGGTTATGGATGCCTATGTGCCCAAGTTTTACTTTGTCCGAGGCAGGCAAGACTGTGTAGCACGGGGACCTGGAGTACATGGGTCTCCATGTATGGGAGATAGCATTGGTTCAGATGTGATGTACCAGAGCTTGACACAATCGAATCTGCAGCAGGCTGCTTTCTTGGCAGAGGCACAGGTGAATAGGAGCAAGGGGAATACCTGCAAAGCAGTACAATAAAAATATACCTGAAGCAATAAAAAGGATGTGTAGGCTGATTCTTCAGGTGGTGAAGAACACTCCTGGCCATATTCTGACAGCCTGAATTTGACTCACATCCTTGAGGCCGCTCATGTGTTCAGGCAAGATATATCTGAAGGCCTACAGCAGCTTATAGGAAGCATCACGTGGGTGGAATTGAGGCTGTCCCAGTAGGAAGTTATCAACCTGTTGGATACTTGTTTTCTACTTTGTGGTTTGAGTTTCTTCTTTTCTGACATGCAAGACAGAACTGCAGGCTGTTGTGTGGAACAGGAAATGCTCCTGCCATGCTGAGACAGGTGACAGGGAGAAGTGGGAGAGAGGTTGTCCCACAGCTTTGTCGAAATATCTTTATGTAAATAGTAATAATCCATAAATTAGAGGATACATCTCAAGCTGTTTACTACCGGGCACTACTGACTCAGAGTGCAGCAGGGCAAATTTTAGTTGGGGTCCTGAAGTATTTGCTTTGCAATCTTCCTGTTGTTTATATTTTCAGTCCTTTTTTTCTTCACTGCAATATGTTTCTTCACACATATTCCTTCCATTTCCCTGTCATCTACAATGAAATTTCTAGCCATGAGATGACTAGAGCTTTCTGAGTATAAAAACATATCAAAGACGACTCCTCTTCATCCTCAGCCAAATGGTCCATGGAAATAAGTGGAGACAGAAACATAAGCTTCCTCTGCCTACAGGTAAGGATGCTAAGTGGGCATACACGCACACGTATACAACAAGTACAAAATTCCAGTAATGCATATTCAATTATTTTTATGACAGACTGAATTAATGACTTAAAGATGTCATTTATAATAAGAATTGCTTCAAAATGCTCCTGTACAAAGTCCTAGAACTTTAAATCAGCCATATTAGCTGAAACTACACAGAATCACAGAAGAACAGGATTACAGACAGGGTCAGGTCGTAAAGGACTGCAGCGAATCACCTGGTCCAACCTCCCTACTCGAGCAGGGTCATCCCAGAGCATGGGGCACAGGATTCTGTCTAGATGGTTCTTGAGTATCTCCAGTGATGGAGACTCCACAACCTCTCTGGGCAACCTGTTCTGGTCATCTGCACACTTCCTCGTGTTCAGAAGGAATTTCCTGTGCATCAGTTTCTGCTCTTGCCTCTTGTCCTATCGCTTGGCACCACCAAGAAGAGCCTGGTTTCATCCTCTTGGAAGCCCACTTTTAGATATTTACAGTTTAATGAGGTCCCCTCTCAGCCGTCTCTTCTCGAGGCTGAACAGACCCAGCTCTCTCAGCCTTTCCTCGTAAGAAAGGTGCTCCAGCCCCTTAATCACCCTCGTTGCCCTCCACTGGATCTTCTCCAGGAGCTCCACGTGTTTCTTGTCCTGAGGAGCCCAGAGCCGGACAGAGCAGTCCAGATGTGGAGTGCACTCCGCATGTGAGCGGCCCAGAACTCCTTCCGCACAACATCAGTCCGGACCCGAGGCCCCTGCAGCGTTTTTTGGGCTGACACTCCCGCCGCTCCCGCCGCGCCCCTGCGGCCCGCGGCCTCCCCCGGGTTCCCTGGCCGGGGCTGCGCTGCCCCGCCGGGCCGGCAGGGGCGGTGCGGGCGGGCGGCGGGCGCGGCTCAGCCCCGCGCTCCCGGCGCGCCCCGCGTGTCCGCTGACCCTCCTCCCGCTGCTCCGCCCGGGCGTCATGGCCGCCTCGAAGCCCGTGGAGCCGGCGGGCGGCGGCGGCCCCGCGGGGCTGTCCCGCTGGCAGCTGGCGCTGGTGCTGGGCGCGCCCATCCTGCTGGGCGCCGGAGCCATCTACCTGTGGGGGCGGCGGGCGGCGCGGCGCGGGAAGGGCGCGAGCGAGAGGAAGACCCCCGAGGGGCGGGCGAGCCCCGGGCCCGGCGGCGATGCAGGCTCCGGGCAGCCCGACGGGCCCGGGCACGAGGAGATGGTGAGCGGGGGGCGGCGCCGCCGGGGGTGGCGGCAGGGACCGGGCTCGCCCGGCCGGGCGCGGGGGGCCGGGGCTGGGGCTGGGGCCGAGGTCCCGCGCGGGGCAGCGAAGGGGTGCTCGGCTGCGATCTGCGGGAGGGTGGGCCGGGCGGGCCGCTGGAATGGTCCGGGAAGCGGCTCTCGGAGTGCCGGTCCCGGAGGGAGGCGTGTGAGGGGATGAATCTCGGGTGGCATCCTGGCCGTGCTCTGCGTGACACGCCCGGCAGGTCACAGAATCACAGAATGGATCGGGTTGGAAAGGACCGCAGTGAGTCGTCTGGTCCAAATTCCTTACTCAAGCAGGGTCGTGCTAGAGCACATGGCACAGGATTGTGTCCTGGCGGTTGTTCTCCACGGAAGGAGACTCCACGCCCTCTCTGGGCAACCTGTTCCAGCACCACGGTCACCCGCACAGTGAAGAAGTTCTTCCTCGTGTTCAGGAGGAACTTCCTGTGCATCAGTTTCTGCCGGTTGTCTCTTGTCTTACTGCTCTGCACCACCGAGCAGAGCCTGGCTCTGTCCTCTTTACACCCTGCTTTCAGATATTTATACACATTAATGAGGTCCCCTCTCAGCTGTCTCGAGGCTGAACAGACTCAGCTCCTTCAGCCTTTCCTTGTAAGAGAGATGTTCCAGTTCCCTCACCCACTGGACCCCTCCAGGGGCTCCGTGTCTCTCTATGGTCGCCCGGTGTGACCCGTAGTTCCTGGTCACAGTTCTGCCCTCACCTCGCAGCAGTCGAGATTAGCTTGTTTCCTGTGTGTTTGTTCCAGTCGTGGTGGGACTGGTGCATGGGAAAGTGCATTGCTGAACGTGGATCTGACAATGTGCTGCTGAGGGGGAAATGTACCTCTTCTTCTGAGGTGTAGAATAGCTGTCAGTAAGTTGTGTCTGGGAATAGTGTTTTGGAAAGGAAATCTGTGATCTGTTGCCTGTTAGATGCTGGATACCGCAGGGGGGAAAGAAAACAGAATCAAGATCATTTTGAAACAAAACATGTTCCACAAAGATACAAAAGCCCTACAGTTTAAGTAACAGACTTTAGGAAGAGTTTGCCTAAGTAGACATGCTCTCAAAACATACATTTACCCTGTTGTAATTTACCATTCTGAGAATTTTCAGATTTATTGGTCTATATAAAAGCTGAAGGACAAGAGGCAATATTGGAATCCACATCAAATTCAAGTTCTCTTGCATATCTGTATGTAGAAAAATGCCTCTAAGGTGCACTTTTTGCACATCTGCTGTCACAGAAGTATATAACCAGTCATGCTGCATTACTGAGGTGAGGTGCAGTTTACAAACATGTTTAAAATGATGGATTTGACAAACGGATTAGTTTTGATAAGAAAATCCTGTCTGGCATTTTCTTTTCCCATTCTTGTGCACCACTCAAAACGCTTTGAATTGTCAGACGACAGTTTAAATTTCCCGTCTGAAATGATCAGGAGGGAAAAAAATCGGCTTCCAAGACTGGAAAAAGTTGGGTTTAGCTTTGATCATTTAGTGATGAAGATCAGTGTGTGGGCAGGCAGTGGCAGGAACACATGGGAGTGGTGAGGAAGGTGGTAACTTCCCTAACTGGTGAATCATGGCTACCCTAGGGCATTCCTGGAAGCATAGTGAGCTATAAAACCTATGCTGGACCTTGAGGCAGTTTCTTGAATGCAGTGATTTGTTCCTTCACGGGCACCACACAGTACTGAGCAAGTTGTGTAGAGAGGACAAATTCAGACTTTGTTTACCATGGTAATTTTGGCTTGTGGCTGCAAGCAGCATCTGGCACATTTATGGAAGTGTGGTTGCTGGATGTGAGCTCTGGTTTGCAGCCTGCTTGTGACCTTTGTATAGCTGCAGTGGCTTCCCAGTTAGAATGTTCGCTCTGGGTTTCTTGATTGTGTTTCTGAATTTCAGAATATAAAATCCAGTGGTTTGTAGTCATTCTGCAGTTGTACTTGAAGCAATCTCTTAAAACATTTAAAACACTTATATAGCGTTTGATTTAAAATATTGTTTGTCTAGGTATATCAGATTGCTCCACAAATTAAAATACTGGAAGACTATGCATCTAAGTTGAGTGGTATGACCCAGAGTTCTTTGAAGAGTGTAATTACACTGTAAAAAAATGAGTGATACTACTTAGAAAAACTGTAGAAGAAGTTACCAGATTTGACTGATGACATGAGATAATTGTCTAGCTGGTCAAAGTATGGCCACAGCAGGAAAATTAATGTGACTGCAAGTTTTCTTGACTGCTTTGTGTGTGGAGGATTCTCTTCCTGTTGTTCATATCCAAAGTGATGATGCCACGTAGATTTCATGTTTCCCCTCGTATTTTATTAGTTATGGATATTATTGATAAGACCCCTGGTTGAAAATATGACGATGCAGATGCTTTAGTTGTAAAACTACCTACATTGTATTAGTCTGCCTTTCTAATGTGGTAGGGTATTTTTTTAAACTCAGTCTGATTTCACATACAAATCTGCACAGTGAATAAGAGCCGGTACTTCATTCAGTTGAAACACAAGAGGGGAGTCTTTCAGAAAGGTCAGTAATGAATTCGCTACCAACAGCTGTGTCAGCTAATTATTCTTTTACTCATAAATGTAACTAAGGGCTCATACTTTTTTGTGCATTTCATTAAATCAGCTCTTGTATCCATGTGGTGCTTTGTTCACTGTTTCTGAAGACACGACCTTGGATTTTTTAATTTGTTCTTTGAAAGTACGCAGGCTCTAAAATCTTCCTTGTTCTTTATTCAGACTTGTTACTATTTTGCATGCAGTTCAAGCTCTCCTTTTACCTGCTGCACAGGCCTCACATTTTTTTCCCAGGCTGTGTCTGCACTGGAGGCTTCTCCCTGGCATTGATGCACTGGTCAAGTGTGTGATCTGTGACTGACATTGTGTTGGCAGGAGCCCTTAGCATAGGTGCTATATTGGGAAAAGCTGAACTACTTTTGAGATTCCTTCTCCTGTAAGCACAGCTCCTCAACAGCACAGTAAACTGGTATTATTGGACCAGTTAAGTGATGATGATAAAACTGCATCTGTGGATGACTCAAAGGTTGTGAAGTCAAATTGCATCTGTTAATTACAGAAGTTTTCGTTGTTTCTTGTTATTTCGATGGAATGTGTTATAGTTACTCAGTAACAGGAATTGCTTTTTACGTGCTCTCCTAGTTTGTAGTGAATATTGTATAACTTAAACATGTTGGAGCCCATTGCATTTATTGCTTTTGTTGATGCCCAGTTGATTCATGTTTTTTTACTTATTCCATGATACCTTCTTAGCAAGTTTTATACTATCCTTGTCTGACAGAAGTGAGCACTGGTTAGTCAGTGAGGTGACGTGTTGGTTGCTTCAGTATTTTTTTTCTCTTTAAGTTGAAATCACTTCATTTTGCAACTCTGTGGTAGTCCAAATCTCACCCCTTAACTCTTTCAGCAAGTTCATGGGGTAACCCTGTGGTTTTGGTATGTGAGGAGGTCAGCCAGTGGCTTTGTGTACTGCAAAGAAAGCCATTTGGGTCCACAGCAGTTCCCTGTCTGCACGTTTTCCTGTGAGCTGGATACAGTCCTTGAGTGCCCTAGTGAGTGAATGTGACCAAACTCCTTGTCTTTTGTGGTGCCACATATTGGGATCAGCAGCCAACTAGTGTGGCTTCTTTCCAGTGTCTGTTTTAATGGCAACTGCTGAGTGTTGCCTCTCTCACTGCTGTGTGGTTCGATCAGGGTATGATCAAATGAAGTCCCTTTGTCTAGATATATTCATCTTGGTACTTACTCTGAATTTATCTAAGCAAAGTATGTAAAAAGTAATTTCTATTGTACTCTGCACCTGTTGCCTAATAAATATCTCTATCGACCTACTCTAAATCTTCTGTTTCATGCCAGCTGTAGTGGACAGGTGTAGAAAACCCTTAAATGTGTGTATAATAGCAGAAGAACAATTGTTAGACTCTTGTCATCTGTGCAGTTTGCTTATTCGTGGTAGGCGTGAATGGCAAATTCATTTAACAGGATGGTGACTGAGAACATTGTCAAATTGTACTGTAAATTCAGCTTTGTTATTTCTAATTATAATAAATACATCCTTGCTTGCACTCTGAATTCACATCTTGGGCTCATATAAACATACTTTTCCTCATAGTGGTTTTAGTGCTAAGGAGACTCTTGAAGCAATTTATACTCGGTTAATGCTTTTAGACTTGAAATGAACCTTAGTCCAGAAAAAAAATACGGGGAAAATTAGGTATTCAGAAAAGAACACCTTTTTTTTTTTTTTGGTACGTCATCAAGAGGGTCCTCTCACTTGGAGAGAAATAAAGAGGTCTAGACCAGGGCTTTATTTTTTTGTGAGTTGAATTAAGATGGCTGAAACAGTAGTACCCCTCCATGTCATCTGTCAGACAAGGGCTCGTGCAAATCCTTTTCAGCCAAAAGAAAATGCTGAAACTCTCTGCTCGTGCTTCTGTTGCGAATCACTGTCATGGTTGGCTGGCAGGAAATTTCTTGTTCTGCTTTGAATAACAGTCTCCCTCAAATATATAAAGTTCTGAACTGCTAGTTTAGCAATATTGCCATTGCTGGGGGTTACTCAGCATTGTTATTCTTGCTGCTGGCAGACAGTTGCTGTAAAGTTGCTATTTGCATGGAGTTTCTGGACATTTTGTGAGGAAAGCATGTTTGCTGAGGTTAAAGTAGCTACTAAGAAATTTTTGTCAGTGCTGTCTAGTCTTTAGACAGGTAGCAATCTGCTTGTTTAGTTACCTGGATAACTGACAACTCAATCACACAAGTGTCCTTTTGGCTTAAACTCTGTTAAGGCTTGTTAATGAACAGTTGCTGAAAGCAGTTCGAAGTACTGAGATGTTATTTTTTGGGTAACTGCAAATAACTTTTGAGTTATTTGGTTTTAACTTACTGTGAACTTACGTTCATTTTATTGAGCTGGTTTGGTAGTTGCACAGATTCTTAGACCAGAAGATGACAAACGGGAGAGTTTTTCTTGCTCTGTATAGACCTTCACCTTGGGGATAAAAAATGTCCAGTGCACCACATAGGATGGCAATGGGTCAGGTAAGGAGAAGCAGTGAAATTGGAAAATAATGTCTAGAATCAATACTTTGGCAAGGAAGTGGAAGAAGTGAGGTTTTTCCATTACTTGTGCATGAGATACGTGAGGTTTGCTTGTATAATCAGTTTCTTATGTACATATCTTGTGTTCATCCTGGTAGTAATTGAGAAGGACTGGAGGAATAAGAAAAATATTTAAAAATTTGCTTACAAGTCTTGTCAGGGTTAAATTTAAGACTTCACAAACTTTCAGAAACCAGTCTTATGTTAAGAATTAATTTTCATATTCTTATTTGTGCTGTCACAAAAAGGTTTTGCAGCATATAATGAGATCTGAGTGTTATATCTTTTAAAATAAACAGCCACCAAAAAACCTCTAAACAGCAAAAAAAAAAAAACCAAAAAAAAACAACAAAAAAACCAAAACAAAACCAAAAACAAACAAAAAAAAAAACAAACCCAACCAAACAAAACCAAACCCCAAACCCAACAAAAACACACATTAGATTCGGTGATGTGCATACCGAGGGCTGCAGCAGAGTAGTTTGACTAAGGTTGCAGACATAAAACTTCTGAGAGCTAGGAGTCAAGCTTAAGGCAGCATAAACAAACAAACAAATTGATTTCTTCCTTGCCATGGGCATTACCGATGACTTTATTACATAATAGTGTGTTGCGCTCTAAGTCCTGACTCCTTACCCCCAAATTTCTTTAATCATGGAATGAGTGCATCAAAGAGCAACCGTGGAGTCAGCACATATTCCGTGATTCACTTCTGTGTAGCTGGTTGTGTGGTCTGCAGTCCTGCAACTGTTACTAAAGGCTTACTCTGATAACAGAGTTACTAATTGTAATAACTTTGATATCCTGTTCATAGCCGCTAAAGTTTTTGGTCCCTGTTGAGCACACTTAGGCTTGTCTGAAGACTTGATGCTTCCCAAGAACCAGCAGTGACGGCCCCAGACCTACAGATGTCTTGCTTCCAGTTAAAATTCCTATCCCACACCTGGCACTGGAGCAGCCATTGCACTTGCCTATTATCCCATAGCTTTCATCTGTAACTCATGTCTTTGTGCAAGGACTGTTGTGCAGGGCGATCAGAGTGCATGGGATGGAGCACACGCACCGCTCAGCCTGAGGCACGTATTGGGGTAGGAGATCCCTGGGCTGAAGGAATTGTCAGTGTTCACAAAGTAGTCATCTAATTGCAGTATAGGCTTAATCTCTGCAGTCTTAAATAATTTTCGTTCTGGGAACACATGTATGAATGTAGCCTGTGTTGCGTGTTTTTCTTTTTTGATTCAAGTTAATAGGAAGAGCGTTGAATTTTGTAGATCGTATCACAAAGGGTTTGCTGTAGAAATGCAGAAGGAAAAATTCAAGCTGATTGTCATGCATTTAGGTTTGCTACGTATGTGTAGCCCTTCCCTTAGTTAAAAGAGAAGCATTGTTGTATTTTGAGCTAAATTTAAGATGTACTTGAAATAAATTTAACATTTTCCGACTTTAGTATCAGTTCTAAAGAAACAACTTATCAGATACACAGTTACTTGGCCCTCAGTAAAAATATTTGCACTCTAATTCTGGCTTATGTATCCATGAAGTTACACACAGTGTAACTGCTGAAGTTAATAATCTTTTATCAATTTAAATTTAAAGTCTTGCAGTAGAAAAATCTGAAAGCCATGCAGATTGTCTTGTTCTGTGAACAATAAAGATGGTGTAGATTGATTTCCTGTAAGCCCAGTGATTAGTGACTTGTGAGAGAAGAGCTTTTCTGGCAGTAGGGATATTTAAGAAATTCTCTACCTTATATGGTTTCACTTGTAAGTCTCCCCTCAGGCAAGTGCCTGTAAAATACTTTTGTTCTATTTGTATGCCTGTTTTTATGTAGGAACTAAGACTACTACCCATAAGAATAATTATCTTATTCTCTCATGCCAGAATTGGGATTCAGGCCTTAAAAGACAGGCTATACAGCAACATCTGGCTTCTCTTCAGGTTTCCAGTTTTAAAAATCACCTGAATGCTAAAAATGGTCGGATTGGCATGAAGTGAGCAGACATGAAGGGGAACAGGCAGATGAAATGCAAAGATGCTTTCAAATTTGTGTTACAGTCGCCTGGGTGTAGTTTGGTGTTGGTGGTGGATGAGAGGGGAGAGAAGGCAGAAGTATGGTCAAAGAGCTGCATTTACAATTTCCAGCAAATCCTAGATGATCTTTTCCATGCAGGTGAGATGTAGTGAATCCTGCAGCTATTGTTTAAGGCCCCCAGTCTGTACTCTTTCCCTCCTCAGAGAGGCCAGTAGAATGGCATGTGTGCTCATACATGTGTGCTCATACATGTGTGCTCATACATGTGTGCTCATTTTGGTCAGGCATCTTAGCCAGAACTGCCCCAAAAGGTCGATCCTTGAAGCTAGGCTGTGAAAGAGGAGCAGAAATCCAAAAGGTCAAGGTTAGGATCTTTTGCAGCTCTGTATTTCTTGAATGTGGGTCATACCCCTTTGATAAAGAGAGCATTTTTATATCTGATTCCTTATAAACCACAGCGTTTGATAACTGGTGTAAATCTAGGGGTTACAGGTGGCAGTGTTAGTTTCTGCAGAAATAGAGGATCAACATGTGGTACAGAACACAAAAATGCCCTTAGCAGGGTCTCAGGACAGTTAGCAAAGTTTTCCATCCTCTGCTAAGATAGTGATGGTCCAGCACTTCTCCTTGGACGAAGCAGAGTGTGTAAAAGCTCTAAAGGAGTCAGCTATAAATATAGTTAATTTTGTCTGGCATATGAAAGGCAAAAGAGCTTTATTTTCCTTACAGGTTTTATTTGTTTTGCTCGGTAGGTCTTTCCACAAAGTGTTTTCCATATTTAATTCATAGTCTGATGAGTCGCCTCTGGTCTTATAGGCTATATTTATTTCAGTAGGAAACTCTTCTATTTCAATTGCTTTGAGGGCTTTGTTGTCTTTGCACATTTAGTCTTTAGAGAAATAACTTACCTCATTGGTTCTTCTGATCACCAGCTGTGTAAGATTACAATCTGTTTAGCTTTCCAAACAGAAATCACTGCATTGTTTAATACCATTGTAGTGAATCTTTTGAAAAGGTTGTCTCCTATCTGATACACTTGCAAAAGAAAGTCTGTTGTTTGTTTCCAGGAAATGAAATCAGTGATATTTTTCAAAAGTTTAGGCTAGAGTTTAGATTCATTTTTATACCTTTGAAGATCAGCCCTTAAGTGCATAGTTTATGTGTTGTGGTGCTTTTCTTATTTGAACTGACCTATCACTTTCTTTTTCAGAGCCCTCTTGGTAGAGCCCAAGCAGCCAAGAACAAAGGAAACAAGTACTTTAAAGCAGGAAAATATGAGTCAGCTATTCAGTGTTATACTGAGGCTATCAGCCTGTGCCCTCCTGAGAAAAACCTCGATCTTTCTACCTTCTATCAAAATAGAGCTGCTGCCTATGAACAACTGGTAAGAAATTTAAGATAATCATGTGTTTATTCAAAAATGTAGCATTATCAGTTTTGTATTTTGTCACTTCTGTACACTGAAAGATCCCAGGTGATGATATCTGCTGCCTGCACAACAAGATGCTGTTGCTTGCCGCTGTTTTTCACTAGCTCATCATACTTTTCTACATATAAATAAAATTATTTTCTGTTAACTACTCTCAGGCTATCTTATATAATTCTTATGCATCCTGTTCTTCTAAGACACGGTTTTAATTTCTTATCCTTTGGAACAATTTTCTTTTATATTAGTTGATTTTGCTTCTCTCTACTAGTTTCTTTAGCTGTTGGGTGAAAGGCCAAATATTTTGGAAGGATGCTACTTCAAAATTTAAACAAAGAAATCATAGAAATCCTACTAAAGGCCAAGACCTAAATTTCGCACATGGGAAAGTGACATTTACGTGATAGCTGAGTGTACTTGGTATTAGTTTTAGAAGTCAATCAGTGTTGCTTATTACAGTACCATAGATTTGCTTATGAGGTCAAGTTAGTGAGCTTTATAAAGGAATGGAAAAATGGCTTTGTGCAGTCTGAAGTATCAAGTGAGAGACTGATTAGAGAAATCTGGTGTTGGAGGAGAGATAAAACAGTTCTTGTCTAACACAAATTCGTGCCATAATGAGTCTCAAATATGTGTGGTCCCTCTATTAGAAAAGCCTGTCTTGAAATAAACTTTTTTGTCTAAAAAGTGCTTTGCACTTTGTTAAAGTTGTTTGTTTTCATTATATTTCATTCTTTCAGTCCCAGTGTTACCTCCTGCAAGCATCTTTGCATGAACCCAACTGTCTGGTTTAATTTTCCTGTAGGAATTCCTTTTCTGCTCTGTCGCTTTTCTGGTGCAGGTGGCTTGCAGTGGTGCCCAGGTAGTTTCTTATTGAGAAACTTGCAGAAATAGAAGCCAGCAGGTAGAACCAGAGCCCCGGGAACTGCAGCTCCTGTCGGGTGCACATGACCCAGAGCTGGTTATGGAAAGCTAATACAGTGCAGCTGAGTGGGGCCTCTCTCACTGTGGTGTTTTTCTACCCGCAGCAAAAATGGACAGAAGTGGCACAAGATTGCACAAAGGCCGTTGAGCTTAATCCTAAATATGTAAAAGCTCTCTTCAGGCGTGCAAAGGCTCACGAGAAGCTAGACAATAAGAAGGAATGTTTAGAAGGTGAGTGTCTCATGATGTGCGTACTTAAAAGTGGAATTAACTCTGGTGCTTTGGAGATGGTAACTTCTGGAATTGTTTTGGGTTTACTTTTGTAGCTACAGTAATACAGAATTATTAAAACCATTCTTAGCTACTGCAAATACAAATCATTCCTGGTTAAAAGGCAAATGAAATTTTCAGCTGTGCTCATTATCAAAGAAGGACAGAAAATAAGGCAGTGCTTTGACTGGCAAATCTAACTGTTAAATTAGTTTCATTATGTGTAACAGCTAGGAATTAGGTCTGCTAAATTAGAAGGTAAATAAGATGTGGAAATTTTATCCACCTGTCTGTTTATTTGCTGGCAGAATGCCTTTATGCCTTTTAAGACCATAGTAAATAGAAAAGGACAACTTAGTTCATTTAGGTACTCCTTTGCAGTCACTATCAGCTGCACTTCCAGAGTGCTATCACAAAATATAAAACCTTATGGAGTTGTAATGAACTGCCAGCTGATAAAAGCCCCAAGAGAGATTAAGTGTCCCTGTGACAGTAGAACAGCTTTTAAATGTAGCTTGTGTTTTATGTCAGTAGCATGTTGGTGACAATTATTTCAGCCTTTGTTTGTGTTTGACTTTTAGCTTGCAGTTTTTTCAGACCTGAAATTTTCTTGCTTTTTATGAACTACACAGTTTTTCTGTAATTCTGCTTTTACCTACCAACCACTTCTGGCCAGTAAAATCCCAGGAAGTAGGATATGTCCATGTAGTGGAGGAAAGCAAAACCAAACAAACCCCAGAAGACCCTTCCACTGCCAGAAAAAAACTCTCCAGTGATTCCTGGCAGTATAATTTGGGAAGGTGTTGGTGTTGCACCCAAGCCCAGGGTTTGCTTTGGGCAAAGCATGTCTGCTGAGGTTGTACAGCTGCTCTTTCTGGGTGTATTCCTGGGGACTCCCATGTGCATCCTGACCATGCCAGAATTGCAGGGAGTTTCTGCAAAAATGATGGTTTTATACTCCCTATAGCAGTGCAGAATTACAGAGACTGTACTAAAACTCCAGGGTAAGACGTTTGCTTTTCAAGCTTATTCAGGCAATGTGCTGCTTGAATTTCAAGGCCAAACTCTGTTCATCTTCACTGGTGTTTAAATGAAAATTAAACAGGAAAAATCCATAGTAGTTTTGCATTAACTAGAGGGTCCAGAGAAGGAGTGTACTCTGGGAGCACATTTCACTCTGCAAAGCATGATTCAGGCAGCAGTGGGTTAACTTTTGCAGAGGTTTCTATGTGTGAATGAAAGCAATGTGATATGGGTTGGCACTTTAAATAGGCCAGCAGGGTATTTCTCCTTGCTCCATTCCAAAGTCACGGAGGTGAGCAGAAAAATTTGAGATATAATATGGGAAGATTTCTTGAACTGAGGAAGAAGTAAGATGTGATGAGACTGATTAAGAATTTTAAAAGTAGAAAAGTAGCACGAGTCCCAGAAAAGAAGCTGTGTTTGTATTTTTATTTAATGTGAACATATTATGAATGTAATACTACCCTCCAAATTTCAAAATGGGGGAAGCCCCTGATGGAGGGATACATTTTCACTGTCCATCTAAGTGTGTCTGTCTCTAGATAAAAGCAGCAAGAGAAAAATAAATGTAATGTGTTTCACTCACTATCACAAAGTCCTTTTATCTCAGGAAGATAATTTTAAATACAAATTGATGTCTTGGTAAATACAGCAAACTGAACACTGGCTATTGCCCTTGAACAGGATGTGTATTAGTTGCAACAGTGGCACATTTTGTCATTTTCCAGTGACTATCAGAATTTCTTTAATCTCACTTTTGTATGCTGTTTCCTAGATGTCACTGCAGTCTGCATTTTAGAAGCCTTCCAAAACCAGCAAAGTATGTTATTAGCTGATAAAGTTCTTAAACTCCTGGGAAAAGAAAAGGCCAAAGAGAAATACAAGGTAGGACTTGTGATATTGCTGACAAATTGCTATTTCACCTGACTAGTTGTTGAAACGTTGGTTGTTGGCATTCTGGCAATTGTGAACAAGTCACTGTCTTCATCTGCTGAAGTGTAAGAAGCGACAGGAACCGTGTTGCACAAAGCTGCTATTGTACCAATGTTATTTTCCTTTGGGACCTGTCCAAAGTTTTTGAAACCTCAGTGGGGAAGAGACATCTACTTCTAACAGTTGTTTCCATTTAGTAATCAAATTTATTCTGACATTCAGGAGACACCCTAAGATGGTGTGCTGCCCTATGTGGTGCTTTTCTGAGCTTGCAACTAAATGGAAACTGGGTGTGTTGGAACAGATTTCTTTGCATGAACATTTGGAAACTGCAGAAAAGAGAACTATGGAAGTATAGGGATAGCCAGGAGTAGTCATTTTAAGTGGCTGTAGGTTTACAGCAGGTATTAACACCTTCTTGCTTGTTATTCAAACATTCTTCCTTGTTTTTTGACGGTAGTTGAAGTACTGAAATCCATGTTGGTTTTGAGATGCTGAATTTCTTTCCTACAGAAACTCACATAAATGTGTGATGTTGAGGTAGCAAAAATGAATTATGCTATTAGTAGGGTGGTGACAGCATCACAAAATAGATGTGCTTCGGAAGAGTGCATTCAGTGTTTTCTTGCAGGGCAGACTGAATTGTCATTTTTGTGTGCAGTGTTTATTTTGAGCAAGAAGTATTTTTTGCCTGTAGAAAAGATTCTGCAGCTGAGAGGTGTTGCTTCTGGGACTTTTGGTAAAATGTGCGATATCTGGGCCAAGTTCCACACAGAACTAGGATATTGCCTTATTAGTCTCCACTGTAATGATAGACAGCAGCTTCTCTTGGCCAAGTTGGAGAAAAGAGTAAAGTGCTGTTCAGAATCTACTTGAATTTAGGCTCATGTTTAAACCACCAGCTTGGATTTTTCACTCAATTTATGTGCATACTTACTGCCTTAGTACATCTACCCGATGTCTTATGATATCCTAAGAGTCCTCATTTCTAGCCACATATGCAGAAAGATATTATCTCCCTCCTCCCTGGAATATCTTCACTTTATATCCACTGATGATGGGTATTGCACTGGGACCTGAAGCTTAAAGAATCCCTAAACGTCAAACTGTCAAATTGAAAATATCAAACTATCAAATGAGATAGTGAAAAGTCATACATTGGTTCTTGCATCAATTTCTTTTTGTAATCACATTTGTTATCCGTTTCCATCTTTACCATCTGAATTTACCATCTAATTACTTGAAATTACATTTCTCTGTTTCAGAATCGTGAGCCTCTGATGCCCTCACCACAGTTCATTAAATCCTACTTCAGTTCTTTCACAGATGATATCATCTCCCAACCTTTGCTTAAGGGTGAGAAATCAGATGAAGATAAGGATAAGGAGGGAGAAGCTTCTGAAGTAAAAGAGAAGTGAGTGTACAGTACAGTTGGGAATTGTTTGGTACTGGAATTAAGTTTTCAGTGATTTGGACATTTTATTAGTGTAACGTGCTGTTTTTATAGTACTTGGCATGGGAAATCCTATGATAAATTATATCAGTATTAAAAATGAAATCTGGGTGACAGCTGACTGACTGGTTCTAAACCTCCACCAGACAGAGGAAGGACAATGAGATTGGGAAGTTATGCTGAATATTTACTACAATATGATAGTAGCTCTTAGGAGATGGGAGGACTGGAGAGTGCTGAATGATGCTTCTGGAGAGAGGAATATTTGACACTGAAGGAGTGTTTCCAAGGAGGAGAACAAGTTAGCCTTTGGTTTGGAAGGGGGAAGACAAGCTAGGAAAAGGGTATTTTTAAATGAAAACTATGAATTTACAGCAACTGAACCTGAAAGGGTGTTTTATCTTCCTGGAATCAAATTGCCCATAAATGAGAAGTTTGTTCTGACACAGAAAAGCTTGAGGGTTGTTTTGTTTGGTTTTTTTTAGTGGGGCTTGAGCACCACATAAGTGGTTCTTTAACTTACTATGCTGCTTTCAACTTTATTTTTGGAAGATAGCACTGCTATGTTACTAATGGAAACCATTGCAAACAGCATTATGATTTTCTTGTAAAGTAAGATAGAATGTCCTGATCTGCAGGCAGATTCACTGAATCCAGGACACAGCTGGAAACAATACTGTGCTTACTGTAATATTTGCCGTTAAATCCATTCTTCCACATATAAGCTGCAGATTGCTAGGTTTAATATTTCACTTTGCCTGACCTGGAATTCCACCCCAACCCTCTTGTTTCAAGGCAGAGATTATTGCTGTTCTTCATGTGAAAAAAAAAACCAAAATGAAAACCAAGGGACAAATGAAGCTCAAGTTCCAAAGCTTTAAAACATTTTTCTTCTTTATTTCTGATGTAATTTGGCCATTCTTTGCTAAATTGTTTCCCGTCTATGATGGCTTCCTCCAGGAATGGATGTTTCAATGGAACTATGCTGGTGCTGTAACAGTGTAGCAAAAGTTAGTATTTGTAATGATTTAATGAAAAATCTGAATTGAAATTGTAGTGTCCAGTGAAGGCACGTAGATATATGACTGTTCTTACATCATTTACAGCTCTGGCTATTTGAGAGCAAAACAATATATGGAAGAAGAGAACTATGACAAAATCATCAGTGAAAGCACAAAAGAAATTGAAGCAAAGGGAAAATACATGGCAGAAGCTTTGCTCCTGAGAGCTACTTTCTACTTACTTATTGGCAATGCAAGTGCTGCCAAACCAGACCTAGATCAGGTCATCAGAATGGAAGATGCAAATGTGAAGGTAAGAATTTGTCACAGCTGGATGGTAGTTTGGGGCTGAGAAGTTAGATGATAAACCTGTGATATAGTTCAAGAAGTTGTTTTTCCAAGTTTTCAAATATTTTAATGGAAGTCTTCTTGTTTATTTACTGTTTTGTCTTTTTATTCCTGACAAATTGTTTTTTTCAAGGGCTTGTTGGTTTTTGAGGTGCCAAGTAATACAAACTAAAGAACAGGGGAAGTTTTATGAATTGGAGGGTATATCCACTCTGAAAAATCAGTTCATAGATAAGTCAAAAACATTACTTGCACTTGCATATTCAGCTGCTTCAAAAAACATTGATCTATCTGTAAGCGTAGGAATTGAAAAGGATTTTGGGGGGGATGTGAAACTCCACTGAGATGGAAGCATAAGCTGACATATTTGAAATTAAGTAAGGGAGTTGATTTATTTAGAAATAAATAAATGTAAATAATAATATGAAACTTATTTCTACTTAGAATAATTGAAATCTGTCAGTGGGAGAAACTAGTCAAATGAAAAATTTGCTGTAATTGAAATGAAGCCTTAAATGTGGAGGAACACTGGATGTTTCTTTGACCATGTTTTACAGCTCCGAGCTAATGCTCTGATCAAACGAGGCAGTATGCATATGCAGCAGCAGCAGCCTGTGCTGTCCACACAAGACTTTAACATGGCTGCTGATATTGATCCTCAGAATGCAGATGTTTACCACCATCGAGGACAAGTAAGAAATATTTCAATATATACTAAAAGGAAAAGTGATCAGTACGTCATTGAAGACACTTTATACTGTTTGTGGCAGAAAAACATGAATTCGTAAGTGGGAGCTTTTGGGGAATAAACACACAGTCTAATTTGCAGGTTCAGGCCAGGCAGAAGCAGTTTATTTCTGTAGCTATAGGAAAGAATGCAGAAGAACAGAGGTTCATCACTCCCATCAGTATGACCTCTGATTTAAAAGTACATAAGCTGTTCTGTGGAGGGGCCTGAATGGCAGAGCAGCATCTGCACAGGGGGAAATTACAGCGTGTTCCTGAAAACACCTGCAGCAGTGTGGCCTAGACTTGCATCTGTTCAGCTCATCCCTGCTGTGTCCTTGACTAATTTCTAGACCTAGAAAGGCCTGCTTCCACAGACCTGTAATATGAATAGTGCTGGCAGTAAAAAGGAACATTGTCATATGCAGATATGCTAAGTCGTATTTGTAAGGAAGACTTCCATGGATCAAGTGTCTTTCTCCATGAATTCATTGCATCTCCTTAGTGCTCAGAAATAAAAGTGGTGCTTTGTGTTGATTGGAGGGAATAAAAGTTTCCTGCAGATTGAAAATTAGTGTTTTACTGTAGTTTCACAGTAAAGTCAGAGAACGATGAAGTGAGCTCCACTCTTGTGGAGGAATGAGAGTGGCAAAACAAAACAAAAAAACCCCCAATCAAACAAAAAAAAGTTGAAATGCAAGCTGGAACAGCCGAAATGTTTCAACACTGAAATAGTCCACAGACATTGACTACAGAGAGGCAAAATGACTTGAGAAAATACAGCATAGCTTTGGAGCCTGGACATAATGCTAAAGCAGTAATGGCAACAGTCTAAAATGTAAGCATTCCCAATCCCTACACACAGACATTGCCTTCTTCTGCATGTAGCCAGAGTTTCACTGGCAGCTTTCATATTTTATAGCAGTGATTTTAGTTACAGGTTCTGTAGGTTTCTAGACAGTTCTGAAACTGCGCTGGAGATGATATGAGTAACTGACACTAATTGAATTATCACCTAAGTGTCTGAAGCACAGATGAAATACAGAAATAGGATTTTCTTTCATTCTGACTAGCTGAAAATCCTGCTTGACCAAATTGAGGAGGCTGTGGAAGACTTTGATGAATGTATCCGGTTGCGACCCAATTCGGCCTTGGCTCAAGCACAGAAATGTTTTGCTCTGGTAGGTAACTTGCTGGTCTTTATCTGGGTGTTTTTTCTTTAAAGAGTTCTGGAAAATACACTGTGTTTCTCTGGTTTATTCCAATTTAATAGAATTGGAATAAAATTTATTCCAAAATAAAATTTTCTGTTTTGTGGGAGAGGAACAAAAAAATCTTCATTCCAATTGGATCACATAAAATTGATATTTGTAAAGTTTTACTGTCGTGAAAGACTCTCATCTTCAAGAAACTGGAAACAAACTATCTCAAGTTAGTGCAATGACTCAGTCTGCAAGAATCTTCTCAGGACAGCTTTGCATGGTGTGAACAAGGAGGAATGCTAGGTTTGGAATTTCTAGGCATTTGAAATAGAGAGAGGCTGTCACAACTATCAGGCCTTATGACTTCCTGCTTTCACCTGTTTTCCTCTCCAAATCCAGAGGCTTGGACATGTGGTAGGTTCCCAAAATCAGATTGTATAGCCATGTCACTGTCTGGAATTTATCACAGAATCAGAATGGCCTGAATTGGAAGGGACCTTAAAGATCATCCAGTTCCAACTCCCCTGTCAAGGGCAGGGATACCTTTCACTAGACCAGGTTGCTCAAAGCCCCATCCAGCCTGACCTTGAACACTGCCATGGATGGGGTATCCACAGCTTCTCTGGGCAACCTGTTCCAGTGCCTCACCACCCTCACAGCAAAGAATTTTTTTCCTAATATCTAGTCTAAACCTGCCCTCTTTCAGCTTGAAGCCATTCCCCCTTGTCCTGTCATTACGTGCCCTTGTAAAAAGTCCCTCTCCACATTTCTTGTAGGCTCCCTTCAGGTACTGGAAAGCCACAATTAGGTCACCCCAAAGCCTTCTCTTTCCAGGCTGAGCAATCCCAATTCTCTTCTTTATATATATATGTGTATGTGTGTATATGTATGTAAACTTTGAATTATTATGATGCAGGTCTGATCACTCTTTTTGTAGTATGATAATGTGTAATATTTTTCTTTTTTTTTTTTTCATGAATAGTATCGCCAGGCTTATACAGGAAGTAATGCTTTGACTGTGCAAGCAGCCATGAAAGGCTTTGAAGATGTCATTAAAAAATTTCCAAAGTGTGCTGAAGGCTATGCACTCTATGCTCAGGTATGTTTTTCTCACTCCTGAAGAAAATGCTGCATTCTTTTGCACTTTTTTTCTTGGATAACATACATTTCTTCAAATAATATATGCAGATTTTTGATACTGAGTTCTGAGATAACACATGCTGTCTTGAATAAGCTGCCTGCATTTATGTTTATAGGTGTTCTGGGGTAGAGGAAGTAGAGGGGGAATTAGTGGAGCAGAATATAGAGCAGAATAATGAGAGTGAGGGTGGTTATTAGGAGACAGAGGTCATTCCTGTGTGATTCCCCCCTTTCTGCATGTGTGTGGCATCTCACGTGAGGAATGTCAGGGTTTCTCTAGGTAATTTGGGAGTTAAATGTGTGGAACTGGGATAAAAGTTTTGTTTTGCTACAAATGGCATGTACTGGTTTAGAAAGCTGTTTGGAGTGCACTTGTAACGGAGACTGTAATTTTCTAAGAAAACACACTGCTGGTTTTAGTAGGACATATGATATGTTCTGATTTTAAGTAGGTAGGTAATACAGATGCCTTTTGTTTTAAAAGAAGTATATTTGGAAAGGAAGAACTGAGGCTTCCAGTCTGTTAGAATGGTTTTTAGTTGCAGAACACAGTGTGTTGCTTCTGAACCTCCCATTACAGGTAGTACTGGGGTCAGTAATTCTTGCACTTCAAGCCCAGCAATTTTCTTATAAAGGAGCCTCAATTTTGAACCTTAACTGATGTGCCTGACCTGCTCTACAATAAAAGAACTATATCCAATTACACATTGTCAATATGGTTTTAATTAGAATTAGCACAGTGCAGAGTGCATGCTTTGGTTGCTTATTGACATGTAGTTTCTCTTTTGATGCAGGCACTAACTGATCAACAGCAGTTTGGCAAGGCTGATGAAATGTATGATAAATGCATTGACCTTGAGCCAGACAATGCTACTACATATGTTCATAAAGGGTATGTATTGAGTTTGCAATCCTTTTGGCTGAGGGCAGTTGGCATATTCAGATGATTCAACCTGAACTGAATGTTTCAGCTTTGTGTTGAAGTTTTTTCTTTCATAAAACAACATGTAACAGGTCTTCTTGGGAAAAAAATTGCCTTTCTTTAGTGTTGTTAAAGTGGTAGCATGGCTCATTGAAGGTGACATTCATATAGGTGTTTTTAAAAGTCATGAAGTTACTAAGTTACTGCCTACCCCACATTAGAAATGAAATACACTATACATTTGGGATGGTTTTGCTTACCATGATCAGGGTTTTCAGAGGAGTATGTGAAGTCTGTTTGAAATTTTCTTTCTCTTCTAGTTTACTTCAGCTCCAGTGGAAGCAAGACTTAGACAAAGGGTTAGAACTCATAAGCAAGGCCATTGAGATTGATAACAAATGTGATTTTGCATATGAAACCATGGGAACGATTGAAGTGCAAAGGTAATGCTGAATTGCAGTGTTAAGAATTCTTAGTTACTTTTGAAATTACAGTAGTTCTTTAAATTTCCTTATGGATCATAAGTGTTAAGGTCTTCTCCCTGGTGCTGTGCAAGGCTAGCTCTCACCCAAAGTCCTGATTTCTGTTCTGTTACTCTTAGGTAAAGCCTTCCATTCTCTGTAGCATAATTCTGATTTATGATCTGACAATTTCACATGTTCATGACTTTCATACTTATTGGACAACATGCAGATGAGTCTGTGTATGTTTAAATACATCCCTTGTGCATTTAAAGTGACTTCCTTAATCATCACTAGGCTTCACTTGTATCTAATGTTGTCCTTAAACATAATGGACCATTTGTACTGAAGGTCCTGTGCTGTTCTCTCCTGTAACCAACAGGACTGCAGAATGCAAGTTCTCAGGGTACCAAGGAAACACTAATGCACTGTTCTGTAACACTGTATTGCAATTGGGCAAAAGTTTGGGGTGTAGCTGAGAGTATAGTGGAGTCTTTTTTTAATATGCCCAGTCATCAAAAGGAGAGACAATTAAACTATTGCCATGAGAAATTTTGCAAGCTTTTCCTATTTAAATAACATGCTTCTGTCTGTGCAAGTTTTCCTCTTATGTATACAGAGACTTTTGAAGGGAGACAAGAGTTCATTCAGTTGTCCCAGCATTATCTTTGCAGTAAATAAACTTGGTGTCCTGGTGAGAACATTTTATCCTGCACTGCCACCCGTGGGGGCTCTCAAGAGGAGGGCTGTTTAACAGCTGTCCTAGTTGCTTAGCCTTGGTAACAGCTTCTCTCAGTTCTCACGGTGGTTCCTCCCGAAGTCCTCTTAAGTTGCTGGCAGGGGAGAGTGCAAGTCCTGAAGGCAAAAAGATGTTGCAGAGATTAAAAAATTGCTTTGGCCACCTTAATTGGACTAAATTTTCATTTATTTCAGAGGTAATCTGGATAAAGCCATTGAAATGTTCAACAAAGCTATCAACCTGGCCAAATCCGAAATGGAGATGGCCCACCTCTACTCCCTCTGTGATGCTGCCTATGCCCAGACAGAAGTTGCAAAGAAGTATGGATTGAAACCACCGACACTGTAAAGGAACAAGGAGGAAATGGCGTTCTAAAGTGAAGTTGCCCACTTCAGCCAGCCCTAAAGACGCTGTTGCAGACCATGCTGAATGGTGGAACTTAGTTTTTTCCCGTTCGTGGTGTTGTCATTTGCTACATCTGTTAAATGTTTAGGTGTTGTGGGAGTGGTTGTTCAAGGAAGTATGCAGTGCTGCATCTTGTTCCTTCTGCAGCAAAAACCTTAAGGTGTGTTAAGGGAAATAAAGTTGCAGGGGAACAAAAGGAAGATATTTTGGCCATGCAAATAAAAACTTCACACTGGTTCATTTTGGGTGATTATGTTGTGGGCGATTTTTGCTTTTTCAAATAATAATAATACAGCATGTGGGGTTTTTTCCTGTTGATTTTAAAGGTAATACTAGTCAGTGCTGTAAAATAGATTTCTTTTTTATATCCTATTAATCCTTGAGGGTTGATTTTAATTTTACAAAAAGGCAAAAATTAATTTTCAAACTTTAATAATAGAGGGTTTTTTTTAAAGTCAGTAGATGTGGAGAGAATCCCTGTAAATATATGCAAGCATGCACAATCTTCCCTTAAATTCCCTTCCACCTTCTGCATAACTTAGAAATAGTCCTGTGGCAGCTATTAGGGAATTAATTTGATAGTCCTTATCTTCACCTCAGAAAGCCCTAGAGAACTGATTAGGAGAGCAAGTAAAAAAGGTTGGCTGGGGAAGGAGGTCAGGTAACACTGCTTCAGCATAGACTTCACAGGAAGAAAGGCTGTCTTCCTGTGCAGCAGTCCTTACTTGAATGTCATGGGAAGTTGTTCTGGAGGGTTCAGAGGGACTTCCAAGAACAGAAAGTACTGCTGGGAGTCAAGCTCCCAAAGGTAAGGTCATGCTTGCATATAATCTTTGTAATCTCTGATGCTTTTGCATAAATGTAACAGACCATCTAAATTCTCTTCAGTCTCTAGAGCCTGCTGTGTTACTGCTCCTTTTAAGAGCCCCTTTGCAGAATTAAGTGAGATAAGGAACAAAGCATAGGCTAAAACTTCAAATAATGGATTTGGAGTCTGCACTGCTTTCCTTGTTCCATAGACTTTGTCTTATCCAAGATTACAAATACTGTAGAAAGGAAGCAACTGTGCTGCAAACAGGAGAGGGGCAAATTGTGGAATAGTCTTCCTTTAGTTAGGAATTTCACCCTTGCTTTGGGTGTGGAAGTCAGTCAGTCCATCTTGCCTCTCCCTGGGTTGATGTGGCTGGATAAACCTCATGCAAATGATGTAGCTTAACTTATGACACACTAGTTTGGGCTTCTTTCCATCCTGAAATCATAGATTTGTTTGTGGTGAATTGTCTAATGTATTTAATCTTTTAAAGAAATTAATGATGCTGTAGTCAAACTGTCTTGTTCTGTAGTTGTGCCACCATACAGCAGCAGCTTGCATTTTCAACTTGACCTTCCTTTCTCCCAGCAACTACAGTTGAGAATTCAAATGGTGGAGAGTAGACATAAAGATTTAATCATTCTATTTTAGCTAGCTCAGTAGGTGATCTGAAATCATAGCACTGGTGTAGAATTGAAGGTCTGGGAAGGTACTGGCAGCTTCTAAGGGCACTGCACGTAACAAGTGTCAAATGTCTTCTCGAACTTCCAATCTCTGCATCAATTACCTGAGAACAAAAATATGCCAGACTGAGGAGTCCTGTTCTCCTGAGGAGTTTTTATTCGCATGGCCTTATTTACATTGGCATTTTCTCCTCATCACCCCACCTGTACCCCATTCCTTACCCCACCCAATCAATTAAGGGAAAAAAGCATGTGCTGTCAATTACTAGCATTCCAAATCATCACAGACTTTTGCCTGTTCTTGAACTAGTTTGAAACTGCACTGAAAGGATGCATTGTCTGTAATTTTTTTGTAAATGACATATCACCTGTAAACTGAAAAAATAAATACTACCTTCAAGTATCTCTCTCTGACATGTATAAGAACAGGTTTTGATGGAAGTGTTCTCTGCTGTGGTGAGCTCTGTGCTTATTTGATGTTGCTCCAAATCTAGGACGAACTAGTACTGACTGACTCCTTATCATCTTCTCTCACTTCAACCTTTAAGAATGAGGAGGAGATGTGGAATCAACAAATCTGATCTTCGCTTGCTTCCATCACCCACAGAGGTATGATCTTGAGAGCTGAACATTACAGGGGAAAGGAAGTCGAGCCAGGAAAGCTGGGAGTCTGGGTAGCTGACATCCTGTTAATGTGTGTATGCAGGTGGATCCCTTTAGTGAAAGGGACTTTCTTTAAATGGCTGATAGAGCAGAGATTTTACTTTAAGCCAGGTGTGCACGTGAACTTTGAGAATCGAGAGCTGAAGTGAAACAAGTATTATTGCTATTTAAAAAAAATAAAACTGTTGAAATTATGTAGGAATCTTGTACTGAAGACTTGGATAAACCTGGTGTATCCTAGAGGGATACTCTGGGAAGTTTCTTCTACATACAGTTGTCTTGCAACTTAATTCTGATCATGTATAATCCCTGTTGTTCACAGGGACAACAGTCTCAGGCACATGGTGTGATTCTTGGGGTGTCCTGTGCAGGGCCAGGAGCTGGACTTCATGATCCTGGTGGGTCCCTTCCAACTCAGCATATTCTATGGTTCTAAGCTGTGACTTGAATTTCTAGGCTCTAACTGCAGATTGAAAGTGAAGAGGGAACTAACACATGCTTCTGAAGAGCTGCACTGTAACTTACTCTGGAACTGTCAAGAGCAGCTTAGATGCTGCTTTAACCAGCCTAGTGGTACTAACACTGCCCAATACAACAGGCAGTACAGTGTTTCTGCCATTTCTTTAAAAAGAATTTAAATTATTGCAACTGGAAATTCTGCAACTATTTTGGGGTTGTTTGTGGATGGTTTTCTATACTTAAAGAATACTGGTGCACATGTACAATATGACTACTTAAAAGTGCCTGTTTTCTATCAATACAGAGGTTGAGTATTGGCTTCTTTAAGTATTATATCTGAGATTTGAGAGTGTACTTGTTTTCATTGAAACCCTCAAAAACTCACAGTCCCATTTGTATCACTTATGAGTGGAGCACACTTGAGACCCTACTAAATATCCCACTAAACTAAGGTGCTTAGAAGTCCTGACAGACTGAAGAGGACTGAGCTCATGTCAGCTCTTGAACTGAGTTCACCAAAGTAGCTTGTGACAGATTGTCATCCGTCCTCCATTTGGGATTCCAGGGGAGGAGGGTCCAGGCCCCAGTCTGTTGCAGACTGCACTTTTCATTTTCAAAATTTCAGTGGTCAACTTATGAGAGTCCTGCACTACTTTAATCCTCCAAAGGTAGTATTTAGTTACTGCTGCATGTTAAACTAGTAGAGAGAGGGGAGGGAATGACAGTTTAGGAAAATGGATGCATAATAGTTACTATGATTTAGAAGTTGGAGCCCAGCAATGGCCATCATGGATGCAGATTGTTGAGTATGTGGGAGGCAGTAATCTAATGCAGGAGACTTGGCTCGAATGGTAAATTGTTAATTTTTTAATATTTATTTTCCAACAAATAAATCTTCATTTCACTTTATGTTCTGTGGCTTGTTTCTTAAGAGTTCCAGTCCAGTATGTACACCAAAATGCAGTGAAAATACAGACCAAAAGATCTGCTGAAATAGTTAATGCCACTGAGTGGAAGGGTGGGACCTGTCTTTTGAGAGGAAGGATGCATCAGGATTTGACTTCATTCAAGTGTTCATTTTCCTCTATAAAGCACACATCTGGCTCATTGCAGAGAACCAAAAGAATAGTAACAAAAGCAGCTGTGGGAAGAGGAGGATGGCTGAACGTGAATAAAAGGTAAGGTGGTTTGGGGGATAATATAGTTAGCTAGACCAAGACAAGACCTCTCCTTTCCAATTTTGTATTTTGAAATCTTTAGCCTTACTGGTTTTTTATGCTGCTAGAAATCTGAAAGCCTATTAGTATAGGCTGGAGAGTTGCTTCTTTTTTTCATCTCGAGGAAAAAAAGGCATCATTTGCAAATTCTTTTTACATTAAAAGGTGTCTTCCTTCTAAGAAGAAACCCCAGTCAAAACTACAACATGCTTGGCTGGTTGTCAGTATTTTAAAGCCATCTTTCATAATCAGTTTGTTTTGTCTCTTCAGCAAAAGCAGCACAGGAGGGAGTGTGTTCCCTGCAGTGGGTGGCTGCTGGCCCATGGTAGCAATAATGCATTTAAACACTGAGCAGTTTTCTGGAAGATTGGGGGCAGAAAGGCTTGTCAGTGGAACAAGTTTCCTAACCCCTTTGACTGACTACCCTCAGCCTTTTCCAGTGAGAACGACCAGGCACCAGAATTAAACCCCATTCAGACATTATATTAGGGAAACACTATATTATATAGAGCCAAGGTATGGCAACATGGGAATTGTTTCAACAACACAGTAACCCGCATTACTTCAACAATAAACAGGAATTGCCATAAGGAAGATTCAATACACATAATCCAGGCAAGAACACATGAACCAAAAACTGTTACAGATTCTTCTATAGCAATAGCTCTGTCTGCCAGCTTCTTGCATTGTCCCCAGTAGTGCAGAGCGGAATTTGGCCTGTTTTGCTCAGTGTTAAATGTTAAGATTTCCAAGTTAGAAGTAGGGCATTCCAGGAGCTTTGTTAAGGCCCATACATCTATAAAGGACTGAGTGGGAAGAATCATGCTTCTAGATTATCTGATAATTCACTGGAAAATTCATAGTACTAAAGCTGACTTGAGTTTCGGAGAACAAGGTTTCCATTTCTGTGTTCTACAAAAAAGCCCCCAAAAGGTAACTAAAACATTGTCATGCATAAAAGCAATGTTAATCACTGCTGTGTTGAACTATGAAATAATTAAGTGTGAGAGGAGATATAAAAGTAGGATTTGAATCAACTTTAGAATTGCACCATTAAGTTTTTTTTTGTGTGGTGGTTTTTTAATGGCACATTTGGCAGTAAATTGTAGAGCAAATAGTCAAGGAATCTTTCTGAAGATGAAGGGAACAGCCATTGTGGCACTTGAACCTTCCCTCTTCACCCAGCTTCACTTTTTCATCTCTACACCATAGAGGTCCCAACGCTTCTGGCTTAAAATAGGAATTTGTTGACGTATTTCTGCAAGTTTCTTCAGATCTACAGGGGGAGAAGAAAGAGTTATGAGAACAGCAGCCAAAAAAGAAAGCTCCTGACTTGCTCTGAGGTAAGGCAGGGAAAAGAGAACTATCAAGGAGAATGGACCTGTAGGGCACTGCAAGTGGGCAGCCAGGGCTGAAGAGCCTCAGCTTTGCTCTTTCCTTAGGTGGCAGCTTCCTCCTAAGTAAGGAAATGACAGGAGTAGAACTAAGTGCTGCTTGTTCTTGCTTTAACCCAGCAAAGGGGGAAAAGGCATTGGAATGCTGCATTATCTGTAGTTGCATGTGCAAGGCCACAGACTTAAAAAACTGTCTCTCCTTAGTCTCATGGCCTGTACTTGAGAAAAAACAATGGGGAAAAAAAACCAAAGCAACTTTACCCTTACCTATATCTGTGTATACAACTGTTTCCTCAGCCCCAGCTTTGGCTATGACTTCACCCCTGCAAAATTAAGCACATTTGTTCACAGCATTAACACATTGGTCTCAAGGAATCAGTCCAGTTGCTGCTGTTTGTACAAAAGGGAGTTCCTACCCTTGATGCCTACAGCTGTAAACACAGGGCTCTCCTAAAAATAGCATCATAATTCATAACTCTGGCATGATGGAAATGGCTTTCAGGCTTTATATGTGGCACATTTTATATGTGACATATGTATCCTTCACGTGTGTTCCAAAGATCAAGAACCAGGGCATGTCAGCATGCAACATACCTCAAGGGTAAAGGGACAACCATATATGGCAAAGACTAACACTTTCTCCTTTCAAGATCCTACTGGCTTTTAATAGTATGCTTTTACTCAGCATGAACTACTGAACATGATTTAGCGTGTCTCCCACTGAAGTGTTCTGTCACGGTTTTCATCATCTAAAGTTAAAAGCTCAGAACACAGACAAAGATTTTTTGACTTTACAATCAGCTGGAAGAGAACTATCGGTGGGTTTATTTGAAAGAAAAATAGCTGCCTGAAGATTTGGTCACTTTTACCTCCTGTGCACCTGCATGACTTCTGCTCAAGTCAGAATATCTTCTCTAGCCGAAGACATTCTTCTTGTTCTTTATTATGTCAAAGCAATGTTGTTCTTTGAGGAAATGAAATAGTTTTGTGTAAGCTGTTTAACATGGTTTGGTTCTACACAGAAAATTACTGTATGAGTAATATATAATGGACTGAACTTCAGGGACAAGTTGAAAAGGTCAGCAGCAAAGCTAATGCTAAATGCTAGTACTAAGTAGCATCTTTACTACCAAAATGAATACATACTTTTAAACTAGTTTTAGTTTTTTGTTTTTCAGTTTGACAATTTTAAATGATGGTTTGAGAATGCAGGCTTAAGTCTCATGTGCTTTTTACCAAGAATTTACATTTTTAAGAGTAGGTGGAAATGTGGGACTGAAGCGTCCAGTAAAACACATTTTTTAACAAAAAAAAAAAGGTGGTGTTTTGTTGTTTTTAATTGAACTCACCATGGATTTACTACAGTGCTGTGTCCCCAGGCAACGTAGGATGCTTTTTCATCTCTAGCAGGAGATATGGTAGCTACGTAGACTTGGTTATCAACAGCACTGTGTTCAGAGAAAGATGAGGGAAGGGGGAGAAAGTGAGAATTGCTTTTTATTCTACCATTTAATTAAGCAGAAGAGAAAGAATTCACTCTGAATGACAAGCTTTATATCCTCCTAAGGACTAGCCAAAACTGTAAATGATATGAAGGTCAGAGAAAGCAGAGCCTGGAAAGAGAAGTCTCTGGCACCTGGCTCCAGTGTTAGTGCACAGAATATCATGTTGTTCCCATTTTCATTCTGTATGTAAGAAAGTTGACTGAAGCTGACCAATAAATAATACTGCATTCAGGAATCTCAGAGTCTATCTGTAATTAGAGCAGTTCTCAAATGGTTATTGGCTCTTCTCTCTAGAATTTGTGTGTGAAGGGTGTTTATAGAACCATGGGAAAAGGTCTTTGAAAGGGCATAACTGCTAGGGGCTGGCAGGAGTAAAGACTAAGTAGCTCCTGCTTTTCTGCTTGACAGCAAAATCATTTTGGTGTCCCATGCAAGGCCACGCATCATGAGGAATGGTGCAGCTCCAATGGCAGACAGGCCCTGTAGCACCACTTCTGTTGCACAGTGTCATGTGGAACACAAGAACAGTTCCATGCAGTAAAGCTCCCTCTGGAACAGGAGGATAAGCTGTTACTGTGATCTTACCGTCCCCTCTGTAAGAGTTCCCAGTGAGCTGGTCCTGTTGTCAGGTTAAAAGCCCCTGGATATATCAGCAGCTGGCAACCTTTGTTAAAAGACAGTTAGAACCCAAACATTATTAAGAGGAAGATGGGTTTACCCTACAGTGGCCCTCAAGATGAGGTTTCTTTCAACTTCACAAATTCTGCCCAAAATGGAACCAACCAGAGCCTGTCCATGCATAACACAGGTGATTAATTAAATCAGCAAAGCCCTAATGTGGGGATATACCCAATTCCCTCACTGCATCAGCAAATGTGTATCAGGAAATGATGGATACTTGGTGAGAAGAGTCACTCATCTGGATAAGAGTCTTGGCCACAAGATGCATTTTGTGTTACTGGGTGAGGATGAGAATGCCCGGTCACACAGATTGCTCACTACGTACCACCCTGAAACAGCCCTGCTTATTTCTGGCCTTAGGGCTCACCCTGCTCCTTCAGGTGACCCAGCCTCACCTTTCTGGCCGTAGATTTGAGCCATCTCAGCAAATCTCATGTCATAGCAGATGCCCAGGCCCACTTTACAGTATGCTGTTCTCAAAACACAAGAGACAACAGTCATATCGCTATCACGAAGTACACAAAAGCAGTTACAAGACTCCCTGTAGCCCTCCTGTCAATTGTTATTTTATGTCTCACAGCAACAAGGGGAGCTATAATTAAATGTGTGTCCAACAAGCATTGGCTATTGGTGGGGGGGAATTCATCTTTTATGATGAAAGACTTATGAGAAGCAGTCTTATCTACCCTTTAACAACAGCTGTTTCCACAAAATCATGTTCTATCGGGTCTTTGTGTAACATATTCCTCTCTCATTTAGCTGCAAGTGTTTCAATTATTTCCTTTTCAAGAAAAGAAAGCACTCACTGTTTGTCATGGACTAAAACTGCAGTCATGTCCTTTCTTAGACCATGCACATTGCAAGGAGGAGGAAGTGACCACGGGAGATGAGACTCTTGGGAGACCTCAGTAAACAAGCTGCGTTAATTTTTGAACACTGTGGGGTGGGGAAGAGTAAATATCTTTCTTTTTCGTCTGATGTGGTTGATTCAAGAACATTGGAATGCGATTTACAAGTTACAGTTAATTGTCTCCATTATTGTATCATCCTCACATGAAACAATGTGTCAGTGGAGCTGTTTGTTACAGCTGTTTGTATAGTTGTAAGCGGCT